TCCAGGAGCCTCCATGTCACAGCATCTGGAAGGAGGGGCTGGTGAGATCACACTAATGGAGTTGCTAAGTCAGGGAGTCAGGCTCCTGGGCCACAGTCCCTCTCTTCCCAGGAACCCTGCATCAGTCATGACTAAGCCTTTAGCTTACCTAGGGTGACCAATACTCAGGACCAAAAGAGTTACTAGGATTCCGAACTTTCAGCTTTAAAAGCCAGACAAGCTGGTCACTCTACTTCTCTCTCCCTGGTCCTGGCTGACACATTTTTCCTCATGGGGTTCCAACCTGTACTTTCATCGTAACCACTGCTGTTATGGCTCAGTGGCTTTGAACCTCTGGCTTCCCCCTGGCCCAACCAAAATAGCTTTGCTGGACAACGGCACCTCTTTCTCTCACCTGCACAGGCTAGGTTCAAGTGCCCTTCTGCTGGCCATTTACCCAATGGCTACTGAACACCTAAGTGTATGAGATGCACAGAGGTCCCTGCAATGAGGAGCCACTACCATTCCCCAGGAAACATGTAGAACATGAGGTATGCTGGGTGTCTGTGGCACAACTCAGGAGGGCACATCTAGTACAAAGGTGCAGCTGTGCAAAAGAGCATGGCAGGCAGCCCAGGAGGACAGAGCACTGGCCTGTAACACTAAGGTGCTTTACTCATCAGGTAGAGGCATCAATTAGGGAGCCCACTTGTCAAGGATTTGGCTCCTTCCCAAACCAGACTGGAGAATTAGGCTTCCTGCCAGACCCCCAGCAGGTTTAGGGCAGTGGCTCCCCTGGTGCAGGCAGATGACGTCCATGAGGAATGGCCTAGCCTGGTTTGATGTCCTGGGCAACTCCTAACACCCAGCCTGCACCCCAGGTCAATTAACCAGTGGGGTCAAGACCCACACATGGGCATTTTGAAAAGCTCCCAAGGGGACCTCAACACAGAGCCAAGGTTGAGAACGCTGTGTTAGAAGGTGAGGGAGGGGGGAGCTACTCACAAAGGTTCTGCAGTGGGGAACTTAGGCACTATACTTGAGGGAGACATGCATCTGCCACTCACCTCTGCTCCCCTTCCCACCTTATTTCCCCTCTCCCATGTGCCACATGAAAGGACAAAGAAAGGAGGGACACAATGACCAAATTTTGAGATATGCTGTCCACACCTGCTTGCAATGTCTGTATACTGAGGAATTAGGACAAGCTGGGGGTTTGGAGATCATTTGTGGTCATGCTGAGAGCACCAGCAACAACCCAGAGGCACTGCTAAAGAGGTAACATTGGATCTAAAGGGATCCAACCAAATCTTCAGTTGTTTCCTTCTCTTTAAGTATCTCAGGCCTGGCTCAGCGCCTATAGCTCAACCGGCTAAGGCGCCAGCCACGTACACCTAAGGTGGCGGGTTCGAATCCCCAGCCCGGACCCGCCAAAGAACAATG